GTGGATAAGCACACAAGCGAGAATAAACGTTGCAGGATCATAACAAGTTCGCTGCTACTTGTTTATCGGAGGCTTCCACTAATACTGTCGTTGACGAGGTACCACAACGAACGAGAAATGTTTTGGCTTGCTGCTCATTTAGCTTAGACTAATCAGTGGCGATGCGGTCGGGAAGCCTTTGCGCCGGCGTAATCTGTACATCTGAAAATACAGAACTCAGTTATATCAATAAGGCCTCTAAAGCAAACCGGCGGTGGAATAAAAATCGGTCGGCACGATATTGCTTTCCCTATCAATAGCCCTGTTGCTCTTAGAACAGGAATTTGAGCTGTTGGCCACTAGAGTGTTTGCCTTGCTTCAGTCACTGTAAAAATCAATTAGTTTGTCCGAGCCTTCCGATAAGAGTATTGGCTAAACTTTGTGATCAAGTACGATAGTGGTTACGTCCGATTGAACTAAACGCGCTTCTGCTCAGCCAACCGACAATGGAGGTCTCGCAACCCGATAACGATATAAGTGCTCGTTTTCACCACCAACATTCGTCTGTGTGGCGTGACCTTTATATTTTGAGCTACACATGCTGTCCAAAGTAAACAATGAGTGTATCCCTGGATAAGGATACTATTACTCATAAGACCGCTATGTAGCCCTTGAATTTTACGTCGCCAAGAGCCTGACAAATCTATTCACAGTTTTGTGCTGATCCAACGGTTCTTACTACAGCCAGCCACCTAAAAGGCCTTAAGTAAATATTACATTTGGCTGCTTCAATTAACTTTTTTGTCTCACATCAATGGCATCGGGGACGCTAGACTTTTTCTCAGGTTGCGTATAAAAGAATTTTACTCAAACTAAGGCACCTTGTCTTAGTAATTCGATAGGTGCAAATTGGTTCCAGGGTGCTAGGTGTCATAAATTTGGCTGAGAGTCAGGCACCACCACAAACACCACCACTTTTTATTTTTTTCGTCTTGGGTCTGTTTTCATGTACTGTTTTTGCCTCGTAGCGCATATGCAATGATATCGAGCGGAAGGAACCCAGAGTGAAGGAACTACTTGACCCCAAAATCTGTCCAATGCCTGCCTGTCTCCAAAAGGCCGGCATACCCGGCTCTGATCCTCGTCCCGAATTGGCCGAGAGTGTTGGAGAGCTGAAAAGACTGGCCTCGGAACGATCAAAACAACTCCTGGCCTCCGTTGATACCACGGATCTCCTCTCCCGGCTGGCAGATGTCGCCGAGCAGATTAACTCTACTACCGTGGCGGTGGACGCACTGGTCGAGGGCCAGTCCGCCTTTCCGCTGGCTTCTTCCGCAAAGAAACTGAAGGTTAGTATTCAGTCTCCTTTAGCGAAAAACGTGTAACCAAATGTCCTAACGCCTAATATGCCCACCAAAGTTATCTAATTATCAGCCCGCTTATGCAAACCAAAAAATCTGCATTTACTTGCGGGCGTTTCAAACGATAGAACTCTGATTTTAAATTTACTTGCCATGTTAGGCGCGCAGCTTGCGGGGGTT